CCCTTTTTCTTTTGTGTTATTAAGAGCTTGTATCTTTTCTTCTGTTCTAGTAGTTCGGATACAGAAAATTGTTTTGGATCTAATTTATGTTGTTTAAACAAATATTTAAGGTATGCCCATAGTTCTTTGCATTCTGAATCAAACCAGCTCTGATGACGTAATGGTTTATGTCTAACAAAATTACTTTTGGAAGCAGTAAGTAGTGGTTGTAAAGAACTAATTAATGTATTGTAATTTGACAATATTACAGAGTCCAAATTAGCATCCACTATTGTAGAGGAAAGCAGCTTGGTTGATTCACTAGAAAAAAACTTAGTAAGAGTATCAGACAGTTGGGGGGACCATTTGACTCGAGTTAGACTAATATCATTAGTAAAAATTGAGATCTTATCAAGAGGCAAAGTAAGGCTGTCCTGGAATTTTAAATGCAAAAAGACTGGAAAATGATCACTATCAGGTCTGCTAACAATAGTAAACTTAAAAATATGAGAAATTAAGTTTGGAGAGACCCCCATATAATCAAGGACCGATGGACTAGCACCAGCCCAATGTGCATATTCGGCTGGATGGTCATCCTTGAAACTACCGTTTAAGATAATTAGATTTAATTCGTCAAAGGAGCGAGCTAAGCAAAGACCCTTAAAGTCACAGAAGATATCTTTTGATTTACGACACATTATAGGTGGGATGACTATAGGAGACGGGGGTTGACAATTGTATTTAGCATACAAGGATACATCATCGGCACCAAGCCTGGCATTAAGATCCCCGGCAACAATAAAGTTAGCTGTTGGCATCTCAAACATCAAATTTTTAATAAAGGAATTAAGTTTGTTCCAAACACTTAGTATTTTAGCCCGGCCTTGAAGTGGGGGAATATAGATATTAATCAAATATAATAGATTGTTATTGAACTTCAAGAGGACAGCTAAGGCTTACTGCTCTAAAGCAGAGACCTTAATTATTTGCACCTTAAGTGCCAAAGATATCAACACCCCCAGGCCGCCACATAATCTCCCATTACCTTTGCCAGGGATAGCATTTAAACCCATAAATTTATACCCCTCTATGGATATCTCTTCAGTGAGCCATGTTTCCTGTAACAAAATAATATTATGTCTGCAAACAAAAGGCATAAAGGTAGGGTCCCTACATCTAGGTTTCCAACCAGCTACATTCCATGAGATGATAAACAAAGAGGACCAATCAGTTAGATGTCAATTGCCTGAGGCTACAGACTGTTCTTGAGGCTTGAAAGCTTGGAGTTCATTATCAATTGTGTTTTCATAAGATATATTTCCCTTCTCTGGTACCAAACTATTTAAACTGTCAGATAGACTCTGCTTTAGTGTTTTAACTGCGGAGGGATTAGACTTAAGACACCTCCTTTTCTTGATCTTAGATGGTTGTGTGTTCTTAATGGACTTAGGAGTATTCAGTGTTATTAATTGTATAGACTCACTACGATGTCCAGTCTTATGATTAGGAGAAATTTGATTCAATGGGATAAGCGGATCTGCCAGACAATCTGTTGGGCGTTTGGGAGACATATACATTAAAGGGATCAAATCATCCTCCTCCTCACCTATACGCCGTTTGAGTCCATTTTTAGATTGTATCGAGGAATCCAATAAGGAACAGCTAGTGGGTAATAAGTCCTTAATTGACTTGGTTGCCATAGTTACTGACATTAACATAGATTTAACGGCATCAAACCTGTTTAGTACTTGCTTTTGTTCCTCATTAGAGAGGGAACCAAACATTTCAGCCAATTTTCCATCATCATCAAGGAGTCTTTCAGGAATTGGTGTTATCCCCCTGACATCCTCATTGAGGTTCACTTTTTGTTGGAAAGCTTCCCGTCTAGAGAAAGATTTAAACAAAGGCTGAATATTGAGGTTACAAAAAACACGTACTGGCGTAACTGAAAATTCCTTGAGTGAACTCCAATTTTTCATTATCAAAGAGGGTATTGTAGCATTATTAAATCTCAAAACAATTCTCTTGGTGTTATTGTAGGAAGGCAGCCAATCAATTCCAAGTAGCTCATTATATCGCAAATGACGATGTAAAAGAAGAGATAGTGAATGCAGTATAACAAGCTTATTATGCCATCTGGCATAGTTATAATGATTGTTGGCTACTAGTAGTGCTATGCTGTTTGGCATTAGCACTATCTTATCATTGCTCCTAACTTTAGCATTGTTTTGGGTTTGTTCAGAGTCTTTTTTATTTGATAATGCTCCTGAATTTGATTGACATTTAGACTTAGTCATAAGATCTTTCAACCCATCAAGTTTCTGATCTATGCTTGTTAATTTATCAAAAATAGCAATCACTGTTCTGGTGGTAAGTAAGCAATTCCTTGCTACAGTGTCTAAATCAGTCATATGATTAGTACCAATATCTGGGTCAGTATCTGGGACTGACTCTTCTTGTAAAGAAAGAAATGATGTTTCAGGACTAGGCTTATCATTGTCATTAAACAAAAATAGCTCCTCCATTTTCAATTGTTTCAAGGTAGTAGCAGCCTCCATTAATTTTGAGTTCATTGGGCTCATTCCTAAATTCTTGGTGGGTTTCTTAATCCTTTTAACATTAGTACGGGCTTCTTTATTAGCTGACCTCCTTTTCTGCTTAATGCTGTTCTTAACTACCATATTTTCGTAAATTATCCCGGTAACTGACCAAACTGAATTAATGGACCCCAATCAAAAATATTAAAAATATATAAGAATATAGAAAGTATATAAAATGTATAAAATATACAAAAAGTAATGATAATATCAGTAATAATAGACCACAATAATAATAATAATACTATATAAAATCCCTAATCAATCTATAATTATAAAAACTCTTAAAGTACTTAAAGTACTTCAACCGGCTATGGAACCACAGACTGAATGAACCTTTTATGACACACAAGAAAGCTACTAGTGAGGAGGGGAGGGGCTCGCCCGACCCAGGTGTGTTGACTTCCCTCCTTTCTTCCGCCGTCACCCAGAGAGGGAGCAGGTGTGGCCCTGGAGCGCGGCCTCTCTCTCTCTCTCTCTCTTACCGCCGCCGCCGCCACCAAGTGAGGGCTGTTGGGGCCCTTTATAGGCCCGGTTCTTCTGGCCGCTCGGCCGCTTGGTCGCCGCCGCCACGCGCCTCTTGCCAGGGGGGAGGGGGAGCGGGTGTGGCCCTGGAGCGCGGCCTCTCTCTCTCTCTCTCGCTCTTGCCGCCGCCACCCCGACAACTGGTCTAGCTGTTGGATCTCTTCCGGCTGGTCATTCCATAGTCTTGGGGCAGCCAATGAAGAAGTCCTCTGGATGATGGCTCAAGACTCAAGGCTGGCATAGCCCACCTGGAGAACCTCTGCACCTCCCAAATTCAACAGTGCTTTGAACCTAAGGCCGCCACTTCCTGCCCCCCACCATCATCATTTCTGAAAACTATAGAATGCACCCCTTGGGGAAGGAGCACTGAGCAATATGCAACAGAAGACTGGCAAAAATGACACAAGTTCAGTGGGCAACCAGAGGAACACTAGTCAAGACATTTTGCTGTTTGAGACAAAGGGCAAGATGTTTTCCCCTACAAGTCCACAGGCAAGAGGTGGCTGGACTGCACCTTAATTTTTTTCCCTTCAGCCACGGAGATGGGACACTGTTCTCCACCACTCCATGGGCACGCTAGTTTAGGGGGCACAGGGGCAGGCTGTGAATGAATATAGCTCCATCCACTGAAAGAAGAGAGTAGCCAAGGAGATCAGGAAGAATAACTATGGGACTGTGAAAGTCACCAACCATGATCTGCTGCCTGAGGCTTAGGGTTGCCACATTCAAAACTGGACAGAGCACCTGTACTTTTAATGATTTGGTAGAAAAGGGAATTTCAGGAGGCTCTGCTACTCAAGCAGCCAGTTTTCACCCTGGCAATCCTATTACCTCATGATAAGGCCAGCCCTGTATTGGTTTGGAAATGATATTTGCAAGCTCAGTCTCTCACAGGGATGGTCACTCAAGGCCACTAGCTGCAGGTGCAACCTCATATAACTTCTCTTTTCTTTAATATCAGGAACAGAATAGCAGGCAGTGGAGAGCTGGTATAAATCCAAACCCTTTGGGAATTCCTTTCAAATACTGCCCAAAGACACACAAACAATCTTCAATCATCCAACAGGAACCTGGAAAGATCCAAACCAGGGGTAGGCAACCTTTCTCCTTTAAGGGCCAAGGGACTTCAGCTCCCAGAATCCCAGGAGCTATTGGCCAACATGGGACTATTGGCCAACATGGCTGAGGCTTCTGGGAGCTGAAGTCCCTCGGCCCTTAAAGGGGACAGGTTGCCTACCCTTGATCCAAACCATTTTCGGAAGACAGCATTATAAACAGATGTCTCTAGTAACATTATTGTATTGAACTCTTCTAGAATCCATAACAATACCTCATGTAAGAAACATTAAAAACAACTGAGAGAGTGACATAGAGCCTAGCTTCTCATCTTCCTGACCACTGCCTTCTGGACCTGCCTCTTAAAGAGAAATTACAAAACAAAGCAGTTTTCCTATCCCTGTTTCAGGGGGAGTAGATGATTCATAGAAGCGTTTGACCCTACAGATATCAATATTGCGCTGCAGAGGGGCAGGATAATAATAATAATGATAATGATGACGATGATGATGACGATGAATAATAATAATAATAATAATAATAATAATAATAATAATAATAGCCAAATAGATATGAAAAATTGTGCGGCTTTCCAGATTTTGTTGGACCATGCTTCTTGTTAGTCCCAGATAATATAGCGAATGGTGAAAAATGTTGGGAGATGTAATCCAATAGCTTCTGATGAGTGTGTTGTGTGCTTTCATGTCATTTCCAACTTATGGCAACCCTAAGGCAAACCTGTCATGGGGTTTTCTTGTCAAGATTGGTTCAGAACAGATTTGCCATTGCCTTCCCCTCAGAGTGAGAGCATGTGACTTGCCCAAGGTCACCCAGTGGGTTTTATGACCAAGCTGGGAATTGAACCCTAGTCTCTGGAGGGCTAGTCCAATGCTCAAACCATTACACCACGCTGGCTCTCAACAACTTCACAGCTTCTGGAGGACCACACAATTCCTAACCTGGTTTAAAGCCTACAAAATTCTCAGGATCTCAAATTTAGAAGGATCTCTGGTAGCAGAATTAAGAGACTTCAGCTGAAGTCTTTGGTGAAGTCAGAAGAAATGTTAATATCTGGGCTACATGCAGTGGTGTCACTGGGGTGTGGACACCACTGCTCTCAGACATCCACATTTTGGCAGAAAAAGGCTGGGGCATTTCCCTGTATCTCTTTAAAATGCTGAAAAGATGGTATGAGTGGGGTGAGGTTCAGTGGAAAGAGAAAGGAGAGGCCCCAAGTTTTTGTTTTAAATTAAAATTAAATTTTCAATTTTCAATTTTTTTAAAAAAATTATTTAAAAACATCACATTTTACCAAAATTTCACTTTAACCTCATGAAACTATGTATATGTAAACACATTTATTATGTGTGTATGATATCATGATTTAAAGGTATAAATTTAATTTTGCTAGTTGTTTATGTCACAACTATTACCATTACATTCAGTGATATATGGAAATTATGATTGATAAGCAAATATTACAAAAATATTACTGAGGATTCTGTATGGTGTGGTATGGGAGGAAGTCAATGGGGGGGGTTGACCCCATGAGTGACCACACTGGGTGACACCAGCCCTAGTGATGCCATTGGCTACATGGACTAATTGGTTGACTTGCTTTATCATAATTTCCTGGGATCCTAAGAATTAGCTTCATACTCTCATCCCTGAGTCACTGCAAGGAGAAGACAGAGGTTTAAAATACTGAAAAATGTGAAGGATAGTAGTGAATTTGTCTAGCAGAGTAATCAGATTGGTAAAGCAGCCATTGTACAATAACTCATCCCATACAATACCAAACCACCTCGGCGTATGCCTTGCCTAAGAGAGCCCTATCAAATTTGTGGGATTGTCATACATTGACAGACAATTTGAAGACATACGCAAAACACACACACACACTATTATTCCTTGTGACTACTAGCTCTTTAGAGCCATTAGAAGGAAATGGAGGTGCTGGGGCTGGCAGTCTTCCCTGCCATGGGATCTGGCAAACCTGATGCCTCAACTTGCCAAACCTAAAACCCATCCCTAAATCACTGGAAGGGCACATATAACCTTGGCCTAAGATACAAATTGGCAAGCAGCTTAAAGACTCTCTTCTGTGGACTGTGGGTACGAAGGCAGCCTCTGTGTCTTTGGCACAGCTTTGATAATAAGGGCAGCCAAGATTTGATCCAGGAAGGATTCCATAGCCAATGACTTGGCAAAACTTAGAAGACAGGGTTTTGTCCTCCAGACAAGAACTACTCAGACCCAAAGTCTCCACTTGGGCCAATAAAACTACCTGGAAGATGAGAACACTGATCAGTTCCAGCTCGCAAATAGCCTTCTGTCAGCAACAAAACAACAAACCTGTTAGATTTCTTTATCAGATAAGTTTGTTTTGAAATATTCAAGATAGATCTGCTATGCCTTTTCTCCTCAACCAGGGGCAGAGAAATTATGACCTGTGGGCCACATGTGCATTTATATCCCATTTTTACAGCCTTAAAATCCGCCGGTGTCCCTGAAGCATCTTGAGAATTTTTTAATGGCTTGAATTTCAGGTGTATCCCACCACCAAAGCCTGCCCACAAATGTGGCAGTTACTCTTTTTCTATCCCCAGAACCTCCTCCCACTCTCAGGTTCAGGTATTGCCTAGACAAAAATGGCAGCATGAAGTGATGCACTATCACTTCCAGTGCACCTGGATATGTGGTTGTGGACCACAGGGAGAATTCATAATGGTAAACGTTGGCCCTGTCCCAACACAGTTGACCATTCTCTTCCTAAAAATAAAAAGTATGGATTATTATCAGACTGTTGACAAACCACTGGATACTGATTATTAAAGAGATTTTTTAAAATGATCATCAGAACCTCAGTGTTACTGAACATGCATCCATATATGTGGTACACTCCTCAGAATATATGTCAGAGAATCTGTGTGTTCAAAAACCTCTGCTATGAATAAAGCTTCAGCTTAGTTCTGAAATAAGTTAGTCTTTGACAACTACATTTCCCCGTAATATGGGGAAAGTGTCTTTTTCTACTGCAGCTCCCAGAATCCCCCAGCCAGTTCTCAGACCCCTCAAACAGATGCAGTTTTCCTCATGTCCTGCTTGTAGACTTCACTCGGGCATCTGATAGGAACAGAATGCTGGGCTAGGTATAGCTTTGGTTTGCTCCAACAAAGTTTTTCTTATGTTTATATACTTATATCTGTTGTAGCCAGACAATGGTGTTTTATTTTTCCCAGGATTTTTTTTTTTTTGGCATAATCTGGTTCTGTACTATTGCTGCTTTTATTCTTATCTGACTCCTCCATTTTATTTCTTGATATCCGATTTTATCAGAGCTTTGAAGTATCTAATTACTAATAAGTTCCTTGTTCCACTGCTTTTCCAACAATAAAAGTGTTAGTATATTACAGAACAATTGTAACTTAATGAGGGCTCATGATTCTCCTTCTGCATGTAACTGCAACCTTTTAAACTACTTTTATAGACACTGGGAACAGCCTTACTGGATTGTGCAGCAGGAATGTCATATGGTTCAAGTGTTGGCATGTGTGTTATCTTCTTGTGCTCTAGTGTGAGCGTTGAGGTGACACAACATGAACAGGAGGGCAGTGCAACGGCGTATTTTGTACCACATATCAGCAGGTTGTACCATTCAGAATGGTTTTAGTTACTTTTGAGTTAAGGGAGAGAACTATAACAATTTTTTTTTAAAAAATTACCTTGCCAAGCTCTGAATTTTATTGATTTAGAAACAATGAGGCTGTGTTGTTAAGAGAATTAAAAAGAGCTCTGAAATACTGTTTCCTGATCCCTATCGGGAGCCACAGTATGTGTGTGACCCTTGCAACGTGAATTGAAACAGGTTTACAAAATTTGGGGAGCAGGGAGAAAAATATTGTCAGAGAAATCTAATTATGCCAGGATATTTCTCCCCCCCCCCCCTTATTGTTGGTTGGAAATGCTCATTATCCCCACAACTATGTGTCAGAGTCAGGAAGATTTAAGCTTTTCATCATGCACAGCTGACACCTCTGTAGCTGGCTGATGAATGTCAACCTGAGAGCAAAGGAACTGTCCATGGGTGGCTTGGAATAAAGGCAGAAGTCACGAGGTCTTGCAGAAGTTCACTCCCTTTGCTGCCACAGTGATTTGTCACCAAGAACATTCATAGGACTTGGCAAGGGAGGGAGGATGTAGGTTCTGCATGGCTTCTCCCTTGTTTTGAACACACTCCAACATAATTACCTGACATGTTGTTACTTTATGAACTTTGGCAAGAGTTCAGAACTAGTCGCAGTCAGTGTGTGCCTTGCATAGCAAGAAACTGTTGAGAGTTTAGAGATGCCATATCTAATGGAACATATCTACTCATTGTTTGGAAAATGAGAAATGGAAACTTAATTGATGTGCCTACATGTTCACGGTTAGTTCTCACTCTTTCAGAGATCAACATTTTGCTTTGGATGAGCCTTCCTTCCTTCCTTCCTTCCTTCCTTCCTTCCTTCCTTCCTT